AATTTTAATTACCTCGTCTCTTAAGCTGTTTTTGATTGTCATCGAAATGTCAAAGCAATTAATTTATGCGGAAGTACATTAAATTTAATTGTTTTTTAAAAATTTTTTAAAAAACCGCAATTATAACGACTAGAAAGTTTTTTTTAATTAGTGGTGTTTTTGTTATTGATTTAATAAAAAACATTTTTAAAACATGCGTAAATGTTGCTACATCGACTATCTTATAGCCTGACTCGCAACGGAGTGTTGCTACATCGACTGACAAATAGCCTGACTCGCAACGGAGTGCTGCTACATCGACTGACAAATAGCCTGACTCGCAACGGAGTGCTGCTACATCGACTGACAAATAGCCTGACTCGCAAGGGAATGCTGCTACGTCGACTGACAAATAGCCTGACTCGCAAGGGAGTGCTGCTACAACGACTGACAAATAGCCTGACTCGCAAGAGAGTGCTGCTACATCGACTAAGGGTTTGGTTTGGCCAGGCAGTCTATCAATTAAAAAAAAAAATTTAATTTTTAAAACTTTTTCTGGTCTGGTTTATTAACGCGCTCTTTAAAACTACAGTTTATGGGAAACTTTTTTTGATGCCATGCAAGAGACATGCAAGAGTATATATATATATATATATATATATATATATATATATATATATATATATATATATATATATATATATATATATATATATATATATATATATATATATATATATATATATATATATATATATATAACATTTAATTTACACAATGCCTTTATTTTAAATTATAATTTTTGATTTTATTTAGTTTTTAAAAGTTTTGATTTTGTTTAAAGTTTTTTAAAGTTTTTGTTTTATGCCTTCACGTAAAATAAAACTTTTAAAAAGATCAATGATTAAAAGTTATTTGTAACGTAACGATTTTTTTTTTTTTTTTTTTTTATTAATAGTTATGATTTAATAGTTAAAACATTAAAACAGCAGTTGTCAAGTTGTAAAGAATAAAAAAATGAGCGTTGTCAGTTACAGCGTGAAAATTCAAGTCTATCTAAAGCAACATACAATAATAAATTGGAACTATTTTATTAAAAAAAAAAGCAAAAGTGTGCAATAAAATATTTAAAAGAACTAACATTAAATAAACTTAATAACATGAGAAAGATTTCTATGGTTCAGTAAAACCGTAAAAGTTATATTAAAAAAATTTGATCTGACACTGTCTGACGCAAACAAGTTTCGATCGAACATTTTGTCCTGAACTTTATAAAAAATTAAATTGAGCCTTGGTATTTGTAGAAAAAAGAAAGAGGAGTAACATTACGACGATGTGATAATGGTTGTAGGTTGGCTGCAAGAGCAGGTCCAACTATGTTTACAATTCATTTTTGCACCTTGTCTAAAAGAGAAAGGGCATCATTGGAAGATCTGTCCCAGATATGGCAACAGTATTCCATACAAGGACAGATTTGAGATTAATAGATATAGAGAATAGAATCCAGAGTTAGAAAGTGTCGAGCTCGATAAAGATATTTTTGCAACAGATTTGATATAAGGTTGATCAAGAAAGATCAGAAGCAAGAGTTAATCTTAGAAGATGAAGGGTAGATGACTCATCTAGTACATTACTGTTCATAAATATAGGAAGGTCTAAATTATTGCAATAATGATTGGCTGAAAAAAATTGAGTTTTATCTGAATTAAAGTTCACCAGCCACTGTGAGCCCCATGCTGTAGCAGAAGTGAGATCCTTTTCAAGCTCAGATACCCCCTCCAAGCAATCAGAGAGTGTAGGCTTCTTATCATGACAAGAGTAAATGGTAGTGTCGTCAGCGAACAATGGCACCTTAGATGTGAGAATATCTGGAAGATCGTTAATGTAAATTAAAAAGAGTATAGGGCCAAGGATTGAACCTTGAGTAACCCCTGAGGTAACAGAGTAATAAGAAGAGTGCTGTCCATCAAGGACAATTTTAATACTACGATTGGAAAGGAAGGATTCAATAATCTTAAAGATGTTTCCAGATACACCGTAAGAAGAAAGCTTATGGAGAAGACCAGCATGCCAAACTTTGATAAACGTTTTAGAAATGTCAAGAGTGATGGCCTTAACCTCTCCACCTTTATCTAATGCACGATAAAACCTATCGGTTATTACTGTTAGCAAATCAGCCGTAGAACGAGAAGATCGAAATCCATATTGATGATCAGAAAGTAAATTATTAGATCCAAGATGAGAGATTAAGTGTTTGTTAACTATTCCAAAACCTTGTTTATGATAGGAAGAAGACTAATGGGATGGTAGTTAGACAAATCAAATCGCTCTCCAGAATTTTAAAAAATAAGGATAACAGATGCTGCTTTCCAGCAGGCCAGAAAGCAAGACTCTGATAAGCACTTGTTGAATAGTTTTGAAAGGATAGACAACAGCTCCGGAGAACACTTCTGCAAGACTATAACAGGTATGTTGTCCGGGCCACAAGCTGTAGAAGAGTCTAAGCAGGATATCACTTTAGATAAAGTAGCTGGAGTGATACAGATGTCAAGCAATGGATCTACCTGTTTGACAGCTATTTCAGGTAGAACGCAACAAGTTGATTCAAGAGATGATATCTATGAAAAGTTCTTAGCAAACAATTCAGCTTTGTCTTTTGGTGAGGTGACAAAGTCTAAACCATACAAAAGAGGTGGAGTTACAGACTTGCCCTTATTATTGATACTATTAAAGATTCTCCAGAAGTCACGAGAGCCTAATTTTTGAGATGAAATGCGAGATTTCATGATCTGAGAATAACGGGCTTTGGTGTTGAATAAAAACCTTTATACAATGGTTCCTTGCAGTAATAAACAGACACCTGTTTTCTGGAGAATTATTTTGGTGATAGATATGGGAGTAATAGTTTCAATTGGCAATTGCAGCAGCACAATGTGAGAAAAAACCATGGAGAAGAGTGAGGCTTGACCTGGATTTGTGGAGAGGGAATAAAGGATTCCATGCTAGCTTGAATCCACGAAGTTATGTAAGAAGCACATTTATCAACAGGAAGACGAAAGATTTCTACCCAAAGGCCATCACAAAGAAAATCACAAAAGAGTCCCATTCAGCTTTAAGGTAGTTGTAAGATGTACGATGATAGGGGGATTCTGATGATAAAGAAGAGTGAGATAATAGTTTTAAAGAAATCAAACTGTGATCAGAGGCACCTCAGGGTGAATGTGGAGAAACTGAGCACTGACTAGGATCAGAAACAAGACATAGGTCGAGTAGAGAAGGTTAATGGTTCGGGTTGTCTGGAAAGCGAGTTGGAAAGTTGACTATTTGAGTTAGCGATTAAAAAAAGGCAATAGTTGTGGGCTTTAATGCCTGCAGAGTCAATGACACTTGAGCCAAGCCATTCATTGTGAAGAACATTAAAGTCACCGACAACAACAATATTGGCTGATAAATAAAGAGAGAGGGCTTGGTCAATATGATTAGAAATAACATCAAAAAGAGTGCAGTCTTGAGATGAAGGTAGAACGATTTTGAACAAAGAGAAAGTTGATAGAGTGAAGTGGTGCTAAACGAAAGCACATAAAAGAGTAGTCTGTGGATTCAAACCTAGTTTCCCGACAAATGGGTGAATTCTTACGAATGTAAATGCCTAGGCCAAGCATGTGACTTATGGAGTCTTTACAAATTAAAGAAAGATAACCGTCAACACTAAGATCACAAGATGAGACAGCTGAACTCAAATTAGTCTCACAAAGAGCAAGTAGGTCTGGTGAACTTTGCAAGAGATAAGACTCAACAGAAGAAAAGTTACTTCGAAGACCATGAATATTGGTGAATGATAGGTTTAGCGAACTTGGTGATGACTGTGGTTTTTTGTGTTTTATAGTTTTTGTTACTTTATTCATTTTTAAATTTGTTAAAGAACTTGACTCGAAACATAGATAGTACTCAGTACACCATTTAATAGCCCAAGCAATTGCCTCATTACTATTAATAAACCCTAAGCTATAACAAAGGGCTCTGATGTGGCCTTGACAATGCACACCAAAAGTTCAAACAGGGACACCATCCATGCGCAACATGGCACTGATAGTACTTTGATATTTTACAGCTGTTGATGGAATCAGCCTCTCTGAGAGCTACCACAGAGTTCGGGAAACCTGACTACCAGCCGGCCTCAGAACCGTAAAACTAAGTTTTAGAGCTGTACCATCATTAGGAGATAATAGAATGAGTTGCTTAGTCATAAAAACAGAGACACAAGCAAAACCCATGCATCAACTCAAGAAGATCCAGCATTCAACATCCTAAACTGGAAACAATGTATTAAAAATACATCTGCGCCAGCCTAATAGATGATGAAGGGGTGCGTGGTTGGTAAGTAGATAGAATCTGTTTACCCCTTAAATTTAATTTAATATATTAAATTCCAAAATAACTTTAGAGTTAAAAAATATCACAGCAAAAATAAAAGTTTTTAAAAATGGAGTAATTAATGTTTGACAAAAAATCATCCTTGTTGACTTCATTTTCTTGACGTAATTTTTAAGCATTTTATGAATTCAAAGTTCCTTATCAACATCGGCCAATATTAATTACTGATTCATTAATTAGTTGACTAGTAACTACCATGGTTTAATTTTAAAATACATGCCTGACAATAAGATTTAAGAAATATGGCAGGAGTGATTATACAAAGTTGGATTTGTAAAAAAAGAATCAATAATAGAGGAGTATAATTTTATTGCAGATTACTGGGCTAAGCTATGGTTCTCTTGCAGAAGAAATATTGACTATATAACATCAATATTTCTTCTATATTACAATATGTAAGTTAAAATTGAAATTAACTGGCAATTTCCTTGAGTGTTAATAAAGAAACTAAAAATAAATATAAAAAATATTTATATTTATTTATATTTTTTATTTTTTTCATTATTTTTGTATATTTATACTATTTTTACATATCTTTTTATTATACTAAAGTTTTTTGTCTACTTATATATTAAAGTTGTAATTTATGATATAGTGTTATTAGCAATATAGTATATGATATAGTGCTATTAATAATATATTATATGGCAAATAATTGCACAAACAAATGGCTGGGAAATCAGGTGAAATTAAATGGAGTAATAAGCCAGATGTTGATTTTTCAAAACCTTTATCTCCAAAGTATTCTCTGTTCGGAGAGCATATTCGTCATGTTACACCAAGTTATCTTCAATGTTCTATGTTTTGTGGAGGGAAACAATGCAAGTATGATAATCCCTTAAAGTTCAAAGAAAATGAAATGGCAATATTTGGATTGTATTCTTCATGGTAAGCAACAAAAACAAAAAAGTTGATTTAAAATTTTATGTTTTTATCATTAAATTTTTTTTATTTTTGATTAGGGTTACCAAAAATATTTTGGCAACATCTCGACCATCCACAGAAGTTATTAAGAAGCATAATATTATTGAGCAATTTCAAAAGTAAGATTAATGTTTTAATTAAAAATTGTGTTCATCGTCTTTGTCATTGTCATCATCATTATCATCATCATCATCATCATCATCATCATCATCATCATCATCATCATCATCATCATCATCATCATCATCATTATCATCATCATCATTACATCATCTTCATCATCATTATCATCATCATCTTCATTATCATTATCATCATCATCATCATCATCATCATCATCATCATCATCATCATCATCATCATTATCATTATTATCATCATCAGTTTATGTTGTGTTTTTTTTCTCAGTTAACATGGTTTAGATATCTAGATTTTTTCTGTTTTGTATTAATGTGTCTTTTTATAACTATTCTATTTCCATGATGATAGGTATAAGAAACCAATGTTTAGTTAAAAGTTAAAGTGAGTTTAATGAAACTTCAATGATGTTTTATATTATTTTACAACCACATAATATTCTAACCTTAACTTAATAGCTAAGGTGTGTGTTTTTTTCCACTTTTTTTTTTTACTGTGTCCACTTCCCAAGGATACAGGAGAGGGAGTAACTACGATTGAGGAAATTTTTTATTTAATTGTTATTACAACCTTTTCTCAATCTTTTAACTCCAAAACACAAGATTGAATTTGGAACTCCTCATTTTTCTTGTTTGTAAACACTCTACTGTTACACACAATTTTAGATTAGTTTGAATAAAGTGTCACTTAGTGTGTTTTTGATGTTTTGCTAAAAAACACGAATTAAATTTATTACTACCCCACAATAAAACACATGCACCTATAAAATAACTATTTACTGTTTTTTTTTTTTTTTTTTTTGAATAGCCATGCATTTATTATAATAGTCTTTAAAGCGGTCTTTTTTTTATCTTTTTTTTTTTAAATACTTTCACCTATGTCATCTATTTCCTTAGTTAAAAAAAAATATTAAGTAGGGAATCAATTCAAAACTGGGTAGCAATGTTGTCTTCATATTCGAAACCAAATTATAACTAGGTGGAGTATAGAAGGATGAATTTAGAATTTTTTATTATTACCAAATGGATGACCAATTTACATAAATTGTAAATTGGTTATCCATTTTAATTATGCATTGTTTGAATAGTGAACGTGTGGTTTAGTTTTCATATAATAATCTAATTATTAAAAAAAACTTAAAATAGGGTTGAATAGGAGTGGGTTAGTTATTGTTTTAATTTGTCACTCTGCGTTTTACATTCATATCATTCACTCTATAATTATTTTTCATGATTAGCAAAAAAAATCATTTGGAGAATCTTCATTCTAAAAAATAAATATCCTTAGTTTTAGTAATGCAATAAATATAGATATAGAGTAAGTATGTCATTGTTAGTTATTCATCATTGTTAGTTATTCACCATTGTTAGTTATTCATCATTGTTAGTTATTCACCATTGTTAGTTATTCATCATTGTTAGTTATTCACCATTGTTAGTTATTCACCATTTTAGTTATTCACCATTGTTAGTTATCAATTAACTAATCATTATTATCTAAAAAAGTTATACATTAAGTTATGACAAGTTATAAAGATGTAATAAAATTTATAGAAATAAAAAATAAAAATAACTTTAAGCTTCTAAAAAAATAAATTCCCCCTGAAGAATAGTTACATAATTATGTTGGAAACAGTGTTAACAATGGTGATTTGCAAATAACTTTCAAAAGCTTTTGAAAGCTATTATCTATAACTTAATTGTTGCTGTTGTTTTTCAAAGTATTATCTTATGGTTCACTTGCAGAAGAAGTTTTTGCGGTTCTATACAAAATAAACAAAGGAATATTTTTTTATAAAAATAAATAATTTTAAAAAGCTTTAATTTTTTGTGAAGTTTTTTTAACTATAAATTGTTCTACTCATTTTTTTTAACATTTTAATTTTCAAAATTAGTTGTTTAATATTTTTCTTTCTTGTAAAAATCCTTTTTTTAACTTTTAAAAGTGGTTTACAAAAAATACCTATTTTTCACTTGACTGAATTAATTATTTTTGAAAGTAATTAAATTAATTCTTAAAATAATTTAATTTCCATTAGTATAAAAGATAAAAATTTCTGACCTTGAGTACTAAAGGACTGAAGAGCTTAAATAAATTAAAGAAGTTTCTATTAAACTGGATGATGGGTAATGTAAGTTCTTGTATCGATGTCCTTGTATATCAACTTTAATTAGAAAAATATTTGCCTAAGTTTTCAGAAAAATTGATTAAAAAAATTGGTTTTTAGTAATTTTGTTGTTGTATAACTGTAATTCAAAAAAGTTTTTTAAAAAAAAGGTTTTTGTTTTCTGTATTGTTTAACAAAAGCAAAAAAATTTGACATTTCTCTTTATTTTCTGCATGTTCATGAAAGTTGCCAATAAGTTTGGCTTCTCTTTCAGGGCAATTATTTGTTTCCTTTAGTTGTACAAGCTTCAGTTCAATAATCTTGGATACATGTCCAGTATTTTTTTCAGTATTTATCTGGAGCCATTTTTGATTGCTTATAACTTCTAATAAATCAAAAGAAACCAAGAGCATGACCCAATTAAAAAAGAAGTAAAGGTTGATAAGTGTCAAAAATGTTGGTTTTCCAATTAAATATTTTTTTTGGACTTAAGGTAGAAAAATGTTTATTTTACCATCATTACCCTGGTAGGGTCTGACAATTTTTCATCAATAAAGATAAAATAACTCTTTTGTTAAATACCAAAGATGACAGTTATTTGTTGAATTTTGCAATATCTGAATCCTCTTCTCAATACCAGTTCATTGTAACAAAAAATTTAAATTCATCAAGTCGAGAAATTGCATTTAATAAGACAGAACAATAAATGTATAGACATTTCAAATGTATTAAATAGACCATAATGTATAGACCATAATGTATAGATATTACAAATGTATTAGACAGACCAATACAATGTAACATAATTCGCTCATCATCAGACATGATAAGTTTTATCAAATAAGAATTCTATATTTAGAGAATTTATAAAATATGATATAAATCTTGCATTGTGAAGAGCACCAGGTTAGTGAATTTTAAATTTTCTGCATACTGGTAGTTATCCTCCAAGAAAGGTAAGAGCTAATGCTGTTTACTCAAGATAGTCTTCTCATAGTAATGTTTTCTGATATGATTAAATATTTTGGATTTGATGCGGGTACTCAAAAAAAGTAAGTTTTGCTTAAAGAAGATTGATTCCTGAAATTTCAGCTTGAAATTTTTAAAAAAAAGGTTCTTCTGTACTCTTGCTTGTAATGCTTATAATAATCCTTGTATGCAATGCAGTAAAAGTCTGGTAGATTGTTATGATGATGGCGATATGCTAGCCATAGCCATATTTATATATTATCTAACTATTCAGCTTTTAGTATTGAAAGATACACTAACAAAAGAACAAAAGAAGCAACATCTAACTCTAATATAGTTAGTTACTCTAATATTTAATGTTATCCATAACCTGGTGGCCTTGCACTATGTGAAGATCCTACATGGGGCTTTTGCTGTATATGCTTGTAGGATCATTCAGAGAAAAATTATCTTAGTTAAATTTTTTGTTCGTCATGGTCATAATTTATTTTACATTAGAAGCATTCAAAGAAAGTTTATGTAGAGTAACACAGAAACTTTTTATTTTTATTATTTTTATTTTATTTTTGGTTTTATACTTTAATTGTCTAACCATTATTTTTTGAATAATCCTATTTATAGCTTATTAAGTCTTATTATGTTATTAATTCTATTCTTATTGTTAACCTCTTTTCTTGCACAGACTATTGCTCAAGGCTATTGCTTCCAGCCTTGTTACAAGTGAAATTTACTTTTAGTAAATTACAAGCAGTAAACAAATTGAAATACAGGTTATTAGTAAATTAAATAACTAGTTAAATTTATTCTGATTTAACATGTAAGAGTTAGGTAGGGTAAAGATTGTATCATGTTAGGTAGGGTAAAGGGTGTATCATGTTAGGGTATACAATTTAGTTTATTATCTGAAATATATAATACAATATAATTTATTTAGTTGCACATGCTTTTAGTATTTAATTTAGAAAAAGTCAATAGTCAGGATAAAAGTCAAAAATTAAATAATTTGGTTTGTGTACCATTTTTTACCAATACTATGATTAAATTCTATCATTTTTAACTTAAAATTAAACGATATAGTTTGATAAAATAAACTATTAACTTTTTTATTAATTGTTACTTTTTTTGTTACTAATTATTATTTTCATTTCTTTTTTTCTTTAATTTTTTTTTTGTTAAACAGTGCTGGTATCAAATCCATAATTAACCTCCAACAGGCTGGAGAACATAGCGCATGTGGTTTTGGTTTGGAACCTAGTGGATTTTCATACGAGCCTAAAGATTTTATGGATAACAATGGTAATTATTGCAGTTTAATAAAAGTATATAAAAAAATTTTTTAATTATAAAATTTTTTTTTTTTTGGTAATTATTGCAGTTTAATAAAAGTATATAAAAAACTTCTTTAAATGGAGGTAGATTCTTTGTTATATAAATATATATTAACTATATATAATTTTTTTTTTTATTTCTTTACTTTTTTTTTTTATCAGTAAATTTTATTATCCTTAAAACAGGGATAATATCCTTTTCTGGATATTACCGGAATTCCAGATATTTTTTTCAACTTTTAGTTTTTCTAGATATCCAGAACATTTTGTATACATACAAGTTTAGATATAATTTTTGTGATATATTTGTTTTTTTAAGTTTTTTCACTCATCACTTATAGTAAAATAAAGATAAGTTTGAAAAAAACTCAGCTAAAAGCAAAATTAAGAGGAAAATAAGGGGAAATATTTTCCGGATTTTTTCCTGATATTTTATCCAAAACATTTTCCGGATTTTTAAAATATGACCTGGATGATCTATGTTAAGAGTGCAATAGAGTTTGCAAACATAACATCAATTTAAATAGAAAATAATAATAAATAATGTAATAATGTAATAAATATTGTAATGTTGTATTGCTAACATTTTGTTTATTCATAGTAAATGTTTATTAGTTTTTTCTTTTCTTCTTTTAATTTAAGCTATTTAATTAAAATCATTAAAAGGTTGTCTAAAATTCTAATTGGTTTAAGCAGTTTTTTTTAAAACATTTATTTAACCATAAAATTGCAAAAATTACAGACTTACTTATAGTTTTACAAAATTAGGCTCGGTGTCATTCGTATAGTTAAAACTAGTGATTGGAATGACACCTTAATAAAATAAACAAATAAAGCAAAAAACAAACAAGCAACAGTAATATATAGTACCAAAAAATAATAATAATAAAAAGAAGAACAATAACTCTTAAAAAAGCCAGACTAGTAATGCAAAAAAAAAAAAAAAAAATGAACGAGGTGACATGAGAGATAATGAATGAATAAGACATCACAACTTTTAACGATCTGAAAAATTATAGAAAATAAAAATTAAAACAAAAGGTTATATATAAATATTATGAGACAATAAATATGAAATCACTTGAATAATGGTAACAAATGCAATACGCAACAATAATAAAAATAATTAGCAATAACATCAGACAAAAAATGCATGACAATATAAAAAATACACATGTGAACAGGTAAATATATGATGCACAAAATTACACAACAGAATATATTTGTTTAAACAGTTTTAATTTGTTTTAAGCATATTTTTTTTTAAGCAGTTTTAAGTTTTAACTTGAAAATAAAAAATTACTAAAAACAGATGATTTAATTTTAAAATGTTTATTAAAAAAAAGCTGTTAACAACTTTAATCTAAAATGTTATTACATACAGTTGAATAAAAATAAAAAACAAACTGTTAGAAACCTTAGCAACTGAATTAAATTTTTAATTTACCAAAAAATATTTTTATTAATAATTATAATGTAAATATTTACTACTTTATTACACATAATACACATAGTGTAATAAAAGCAAGTTTAATTTTTCATGCTTTCTACTGTATTTAAAAATGGCATACCTTAAACTTAGGCAGATATTGGCTGCAAAATTCTAAGACTGAAATGATTGAGAAGTTACTCAAAGAGAAATGGCTTTACATTTTGATGACAAACACATTGTGGAAAGTAAATACCAGCACACATGAGTGTTTTTTAACATAAGTAATGCATGGTGGAGTTCAAGAGTGGAATTCATTCTAGCTATTTTTGCATTTATTTTTATACTTACAACGAGGACAAGTTTGGAGAAGGTATGCAGATTTATTTTGTATGATCTGGTAGATTGTTGGCATACCAGGGTTCCGGGAAGTGGGCCTGGGCCAAAAAAAACCAGCAGTTTTTTTCAGACGGTTCCACCCGAAAAAAACCAATGGATTTTTTCGCAAGTGGTCTTTTTCAAATTTTGTCGAATTTGTTTTAAAATACCATATAAATTGGAAAATAATTACGCAATTGATTAGATTAAATTTAATGCACTACTAAACTACTGAACAACTGATAAACAGCACTTATAATAGTCAATCATCATTTGCTTCTCGCAAGTGGCGATACACTTTGGCATGCTCTGCCACTTTCTCTGTGCCCAAACGATTTCTTGTCTTGGACCAAATGTAGCCAAAGTTTGAAAAATCCTTTCGAGAGAAGTAAACGAAACTGGAACACTGTGTAAGTTAAACACAAACTGGCAGAATGGCAATGGCAGAGCAGCATTTTCTGGATGGGCATCATGTTCTTGAGTTGCAGAAATTTTGGAAATCAATATTTTCCACCATTTTGCAGCAGAAAACGTTTTCACCAGACTTTCTCTGAACACTGGCAGAATGGCAATGGCAGACCAGCATTTTCTGGATGAGCATCATGTTCTTGAGTTGCAGAAATTTTGGAAATCAATATTTTCCACCATTTTGCAGCAGAAAACGTGGAGCTGGGATATATTTCTGTATCTTCTGCTGTGAAAGCCAGAACAAATGGTACAAAATCAGGGTGTTGAATATTTAACCACTCTTCTCCCTCATTCTGCTGTTCCATTGTGAGTCTTCTATTTCCTAAAGAGCAAAAATAGTAGTTCTATGAGTTTCAGGTTCATATTATAATTATTATTCATTATCAGGCAGACCTCACCTACACAAACTACACAGTACACACCGGCTACATTATGTGATGTTAAAAAGTAAAAACTAAAGTCACATAAAAAATAAGTTAATAACAAGACTAGCCTTAAATTGTCCAAAAAATATATTTACTACAAATATTTCAAAACTAATACCTTATATGTTTTGTAAAGTTATCTTTGTTATTTTTCATTAGCCTACCTTTTTTCCTTGGATCTAGCATGTAGGCTAAATAATGAAATGACTGCATAGTTTCTAAGAAGCGTTTTCTTAAAAATTGACCATAGTTCTCTAAATCAGGGTTTTCAATTATATCCAGCCATATATACACGCAATCAGACAACTTTGTTGTATCTGCCTGCAGCTAAATGGAAATGTAGCATGTGTCAATCACTAATTACAATTAGAGCATAAAGAAAACTATTTTATTAAGTTAGCAATTTAGTATTTAAAGGAATATTTTGTCTTGGTACCTTTTTTACTACCTTGTGTTAGTTGCGTAGCTTTGGAAGGTGTACTCTAGAATATGTAGTTGGACTGGGAATCGATGGTGAAGCTAAACTTGTTGATGGAACCTGAAAATCTACATTTCGTTCTTCATAATTCAATGATTTATCCATGGATGTAGAAGAATCACTTCTAAAGCCAAAGCTTAGTGAACTTTCACTTAAAGGAGGTTCATCGTCTTCTGTATCTGTGTTGCTGGTTCCAGGTATTGGAAACTTTGAGCACTTTTTCAAATGTGCCTTAATTCTCGTTATTTTTCCACTTACTTCACATTCACAGTATTTGCACTTCACTTTGCTTGAACCATCTGTTTTTGTTACATGTCTCCATTCTTCAGAAATCTTTTTTCCAATCCCTTCAGTTTTTGGCATATTGACTTTATTCTTTCTTAGGTGGTAAAAGTCTAAATAAAAAAACAAAAAATAATTAGCCTGATTATTCAATGGTACTATGGTAGCAAATGAATACATGAATGAATAAATAAATTAATAAGTAAATATAAGCTTAATTACCTTTTTATGAGATCTTCTGCTTGTATTTGTATCAAACAAGTTTTAATCAATCAGTTGATTCAACTATTGTATTTATTTTATTTTTTATTTTAATAATTTTATATTTATTTATTAAATATAATAAAGTACAGAACCTTATATTGATATCTTTCTGTAAAGATACAATAATAAAACAAATTTTATTGTTAATTAAATTAAATTAAATATTAAATTAAAAATAAATATAATTAAATTAAAAATTTACTACATTCATTCTTATCTAATCAACTTTTTTTTATTTTAGGCAAGACTCAGTCAGAGTCTAGTAAAAGTAAAACACCTTAGACTGAAAAAGCCAAGTCTTAGACTCTACACTCTAGGATGTTATTGAGCATAGTGAACATTGCATCAATTATCTCTTCTTTCTTCCCATTCTTATTCTTTTTTCCCATATACATTACCTGTTGGTCCGTTGTATAGAAATTGGATAGAAGTAGAAATGCTTTTAAAAATTGAAAAAGTCCAAAAAAGTCTGAAAAAAACCACCCGGCCCGGTTTTTTTCAAACCCTGTGGCATACAGATAAAGTGTACAATCAAAATGACTTCAAGAAATGAAATTTACTTGTCAGAAATATTACATCCTAAAAAATTGCATTCAATGAAGAATCAATAGTAAGCCTTTTTTCAGTTTGTTTTTTTTTTGAAAAAAAAACCAAACTAAAAAAAGGCCACTGCATGGCCTTACTATTGACCCGAATCGTTGGTTTTAAAAATAAAACCATTTTTTTTGGTTCGGTTTAAATTTTTTTTTTTTTTTTGATCGGTTTGGTTTAGTTTCGGTTAAATACAAAACAAAGTAAGAGGTAATTTATTTAATAAATTTAGAGTTAAATATTTTTAAAAATACAAAGAAAGCTTAATTTTTTTTTTTTTTAGTATTTTTTTTTATATAAACAATTTTTTAACATTTTCAACTGGCATTGTAGTTCTTCTGGCAGTGGCAAGTTACCAGCAGTAGAAAAACCCTCTCCAAAGATGCAGAAGTTATTGATATACAAAAATATTTTTGTGCATGATTTAATAAAATTGGGTACTGCAACTTCATTACTTTCCACCACTCTAAAATATTTGTCATTTCTTCAGCTGTTTTGACTGCTAAATAACGATCAATTTCTAAACCCAATTTAGTCATTGTTGAAGTACTGTGTGGTGAGACATCTTGTTTCAGTCTTTTTCTAATCAGACCATTCTTGTGCTCTTCATTATCTAAAATTTTAAAAGATAAACTAAGCTTGTAAATAAAAAAAGATAAACTAAGCTTGTAAATAAAAAAAGATAAACTAAGCTTGTAAATAAAAAAAGATAAACTAAGCTTGTAAATAAAAAAAGATAAACTAAGTTTGTAAATAAAAAAAGATAAACTAAGCTTGTAAATAAAAAAAAGATAAACTAAGCTTGTAAATAAAAAAAGATAAACTAAGCTTGTAAATAAAAAAAAGATAAACTAAGCTTGTAAATAAAAAAAGATAAACTAAGCTTGTATATAAAAAAAGATAAACTAAGCTTGTAAATAAAAAAAAGATAAACTAAGCTTGTAAATAAAAAAAGATAAACTAAGCTTGTAAATAAAAAAAGATAAACTAAGCTTGTAAATAAAAAAAGATAAACTAAGCTTGTAAATAAAAAAAGATAAACTAAGCTTGTAAATAAAAAAAGATAAACTAAGCTTGTAAATAATGTATATATATATATATAATATATATATATATATATATATATATATATATATATATATATATATATATATATATATATATATATATATATATATATATATTACAAATTTTATATATATTATAAATTTTATATATATTATAAATTTTATATATATTATAAATTTTATATTTATATATATATATTATCAGGCTTGGTCAGGAAGCAGGATCGATCGCTCTCGAATACTGACCACGGAAATTATATTTAGTTGCGAAAAACTGGCCAGGTTTTTTAGTCGTTTTGAGGTTTTTTAGTCGTTTTGAGAACATTTAAGTTTATGTACAAAACAAAAAATTTTTGTTTTACGGACATATATGGAAACATAAAAAACTTGAATGTTCTCAAAACATCTTGGTGCGGAAGACTAAAAAGAATATTCGCGAACTCTAAAAACCCGCCAAATTAACAAACAAACTAATTCTATTAGTTCAAAAAATACGCTAAGCGAAATAAAGTTCTAGAGTATTCTGCTGAAATGTTTTAGAAATTGTATTATTCACGATTTGTAACGTTTTGAGATTTCTAGCATAGATTGTTTTAAGAATATATATTATTAATTCTATGGCTCATTCTCATAGCCACATCTGCAAAGCCGTAAATCTACATACTTATTTTTTATTTAAAGAGTATGTATTTTTTATGTAAATGTAATTTTGTGTATCTTTTTTTTATCGATTTAATTTGTAAACAAAGACTTACAAAAATAATTGCGTTTTCAATGAAGTTATTAATAATCATTAAAGTTAATAAAACTCATTATGTAACAAACATATAAAAAGTTTCTGGTTACTAAACACAAACAATGCATACAAAGTAACTCGCAGATGAACAAGCACCGTGCCTGAGGTCACGACAGAACACAAATATATATAGCAAGTTATTAGATATAAAGAAAAGTTTCTAGATATTGGTTTACTAAATCTAATTATTTTCGCTTAAGTTGTCATTCTTAAAAATTATTTATACTTTTTTCTGCTTTAAATACTAATTAAAATTAAAAAGCCCACTCACTAAACATCATCAGCAATATTGTGAAGCAGTTTCGCTTCCTCGTCATAAAAGTATTTTTAACTTTTTTAGTTGATTTCTATCTAGTTAATTTAATTTCTATAGTAATTTAATGATTTAATTATTTCATTTGTTTATCTTACTAAGAAGAATTGTTTCAAATATGTTAAACCTTTCAAACTACGTGAAACATAAAAAAGGTATTAAAAAAATTAACTTTTTTATTTATAAAATAATTAGCTTAGATAAAACTAAAACTTGCAAACTTTGATAAATAAAGAACATTTCTTTCCTTTTTAAACAAACATAAGATGTTACTTTATATAAAAAACGTCGCTTAATTTTTAAAAAGAATTATAAAAGAGCAATATTTCGAAAATATTTGTTCTAAACGTAATTTATTTTGCTTTAAGTTTTTTCGCGTTAAAAGATATTTTTTTTTTCCTATTTTTTTTTTTGTATTTGTCTCTCATTGGTCCAATTAATCTTTTGCACATTTTTTTTTTTCTTTTTGAAATGTACTCAAAACAACTAAAAAATCTGGCCAGCTTTTCGCAACTAAATATTATTTACATGGTCAGCAATCGAGAGTGATTGCTCCTGCTTCCCGACCAAGCCTGTATTATAAGTTTTATATAAAAGTATATATTTATATATATATATGTGGTTTATTTGTAATAAAAATTTGAATAAAATAAAAGTTTAATAAATATTGAATTTAATTGTGCAAGATTTAATACATCAAATGTTTTTTTATTATAGTTTTCTTCTACAATTTTTGTTGGTAAGTGATTTGAAGTGTTATTTATTAAAGATTTTTTAATAAATATTTTTTTTAGATTTGAGTTTCAGGTCTCGAATTAAGTGTTATGTAATTCTTTTTATTCTTTTTTTTATTTTTACTGCTTTTAGGCAGTTCATTAAAATATAGAATATGTTTGTTAGTTTAATTATTTATATTTAATGCAATTTTTCTTAGTTGTATACTTTTATTTATAGTGATCCATATTTAAAATTTTTTAGAAGTTTGCAACTCTTTTTTTATAGCAATTTTTTTTTAAAGTTTTTATTTTAATAAGAGAATTAAAGTTGTTAAATAAATATTGAATCTTAAAATTTGATTTTTTATATTTGCTAAAAATTTGTTAAAAATTATTTGATTGGCTGCAATTATTTCCATCTATTTAAATGAATATTTAAAAATTTTTTTGAAGTTCTGTCATTTCTGTAATTTTCATTGATATATATATATATATATATATATATATATATATATATATATATATATATATATATATATATATATATATATATATATATATATATATATATATATATATATATATATATATATATATATATGTGTGTATATATATATATATATATGTGTGTATATATATATATATGTGTGTGTGTATATATATATATATATATATATATATATATATATATATATATATATATATATATATATATATATATATATATATATATATATATATATATATATATTCAAAAGAATATAAAATTTCTCAAATCTGTTTAAATTTTTTAACAATATACATTTTATATTAATATAAAATTATGCTTTGAAATAAAAATGTTATATAATTAAAATAATAAAGCAGTGAAAACAATAAAAAAATTTTTTTAAATAAATTTAAAAAGTGTCTCTATAAAAAATCTTGGCCAGATGTTAACTGCATCTAGCTACTGTCTTGCAGAAGACCTCTAGGCAAAGACTTAGGGGTAAGTCGAACAATTGACTAGCCTTGCACCCCTTCTTCATATATTAGGCTGAAAATAGATGTAATAAAGTAGATGAAATTCTGCATTGCATTGTTTGCTGCCTTGAATGATGAATGCTGGATCTTCTTGACCTTGATAGAAAGCTATGTAACTCTTCCTGTTATCTCTTAATGAGGTTTTAGCTCTAAAAGTGAGTTTAATGGTTTTGAAGTTGGCTGGTAGTAAGGTTTTCTGAACTCTGTGGTATCTCTCAGAGAGACTGATTCCATCAACAGCTGTAAAATATCAGAATATTAACAATATCATGTTTTGCATGGATGGTGTCCCTGTTAGTGCTTTTAGTGTATGTTGTCGAGGTCACATAAGGAGTTATTTGAATTACTTATAAAAAATTTTATACAAAATTTATGTAAATATTTATACAAATTAAGTTAACTAACATGACTGAGACAACTGTATAGCTCATTACTTAGGTTGCTGTGCTCTATCTATGAGTGAGTAAGCTCTCTCAAACTTAAATCAGCCCAAAGCAGCCTAAAATATTAAACATAAAATATCATCCCCACCGCCTATTTGTTTCAATATATCTTTAAAAAAATATTTGTGGTCATTGAAGTAAATATTACCTCTTGCAAAGTTTACCAGACTTGCTTGTGCTTTGTGAGATTTAAAATTTGGCTGCTCCTTCCTCAGATCTCAGTATTAATGGGTACACTTTGATTTGATGGGTATTCTTTGATGTGCAAAGATTTCAAAAGTTGCATGCTTGGCTTGCGATAAAAGTTATAAAGTTAAAAGAATCGTCAGAGGATTCAAACCTGATTTCTAGAAAAATTTACCTATTTGTCTAGAAATCAGGTTTGAATCCTCTGACGATTCTTTTAACTTTATGACTCTTATTTTAGGCAACACTAATCACTTATCTTCACTCTTTTATTTGTTTCTTGCCTCTGACCCTAGCTTGTATTCAGTTTCTTACTATTCCCTTTAGGTGGTCCGACCATGGAATGATTTCTATCAATCTTTCATCTTCTACTTTTTTTTCTGACATAATCTATTATCACACTGTTTACAACTGCACTAAAGCTGACTTTCTTTTTGTAATTTTCTTTGTAACAGTTCTTACTCTGATTTCTTTTCTCTCTCTCCACTGATACTTGCGCCCCCTACATACTCTCCTTGATCCACTGATACTTGCGCCCCCTACATACTCTCCTTGATCCACTGATACTTGCGCCCCCTACATACTCTCCTTGATCCACTGATACTTGCGCCCCCTACATACTCTCCTTGATCCACTGATACTTGTGCCCCCTACATACTCTCCTTGATCCACTGATACTTGCGCCCCCTACATACTCTCCTTGATCCACTGATACTTGCGCCCCCTACATACTCTCCTTGATCCACTGATACTTGCGCCCCCTACATTCTCTCCTTGATCCAGGCAGGTATGAAAACTTTTATTCCTTCTTTTGGGCTCCAAATCAAGGCTCATAAAACTCCATGGTTTTTACTTTTTTGCACATTTGCCATATCTAATCGTAATCACTTTTTTCATCTTTTTCAAAAGAACAACTTTCTTGAGAACAAATGCCTATTTATTATTGCAAGAAATCGATGCAAAAAGATGCTGTCTGATGCTGAGCTCCAATATTTCCAGTTTACTAGATTTTATCTTTTATTTCAGAAGTTAGGTTTATTACCAAACAGTTTATTACTAAAGCTAAGTCTAACATTCCATCTCTTAGTTTCTAATTTGAATCTTGGATCTTATGGCCATACCCTTCCTGCCATTAACTCATTGTTACACATTTAAATCACTCAATTATTTCTCAACTAAAATTTTTCTACGGCTTGTGGTCCAGACAACATTCCTGTCAGTCTTACAAAAGTTTTCTTTTCTGTTCTCTAAATTCAATATCTCTAAACTATTTAATTAGTGCTTGACTGAATCTTGTTGTCCTGCCTGCTAGAAAATTGCATCTGTGGTTCCAATTTTTAAAAACTCTGATGAACATTCTGAACCCTCGAACTATTGTCCCATCAGTCTTCTCTCTATTATAAGCAAGTTTTTTGAGTCTTTGATTAATAAATTTCTAACATCCTATCTTGAGTCAAATAACTTACTGTCTGACAACAAATAGGGTTATTAATTTTATTGTTCTACAACTGAGTTGCTAACTGCTGTGACGGAAAGATTCTATCGTGCATCAGATGGAGGTGATAAGGCAATAGCTATTGCTCTTGACATATCTAAAGTTTTCAATAAAGTTTGGTCTGGTCTTTCAATAAATGCTGGTCTTCTCCATAGGCTTGCTTCATATGGTGTATCTAGAAAAATTTATGAGATTTTAAAATCATTTCTTTCTAACCGCTTTATTAAAGTCATCCTTGAAGGTGTTCTTTATTTTTAATAACTTCTGGGATACCTCAAGGTTCTATCCTTGGTCCCGTTTTGTTTCTTATCTACATTGATGATTTTTCTAAAAACCTTACATTTAAAGTGGCTCTATTTGCTGATGACTCAACTTTATACTCCTGTCTTGCAGGGCCGTCTCGAAGAGGTCTTTCATGGGCCGGGGGGGATGGGTCATATGTGTTTTTTGCTGACTAGAGACACAAAAAAAAAAGGTCCTTGACATTTGCCAACTAAAACTTGCCAACTCAAATGATAAATGTACAAATGTGCCAACTCAAATGCATATATAATAGCTTTGGGTGGTGGGAAACCCCCTACACCCCCGTTCAGGGTGAGCCTGCTGTTTTGATAAAAAGCCTTCTCTTTTTGATTGCTTAGAACAGACAGCAGATCTTGAATCTGATCTCACTTCTGTAACAGATTGGAGCTTGCAAAGATTTGTCAATTTTTACTCCAACAATACTTAGTTATTTACTGTAAACAACTATTGCAACACTGTCAATATTCCTACAATAAAGAATGGCTACCCTCCACTGAGTCCTCTTCTTTACATTTTCTTGGATTATTATTTGCTACTGACCTCTCATGGAAACGATAAATACAATCGATTGCAAAGTCAATGGACACCATATATACAATCGATTTGCTATAGTTGTCTCTTTATTGTGCTAGCCATTATTTTCTACCTCTACAAATCTTTTATTCATTCTTGTATGAAATACTGTTATCATATTCGGTCTAGTACTTCTAATAATGCTCTTTCTCTTTTAGGCAAGGTTCAATAACACACTGTTAGTTGGACCTGCTTTATTTGCCGAGCTTAAGCCTCTCATTGTCGTAAAATCGCATCTCTTTTTCTTTTCTACAAATACTCAACAAAATCATGGTTGCTGCTCCAAGGTGCTATCATCTCTAGTTGTAATAACCTAATCTCATTCTCACTTGACTTGTCATTCAGCAAAGTCTCATCCTTTTACTGTATCTTTTCCTGCTTGCTCTAAAATCATTTATTTGTCTAATTTTTTTCCGTGCACTTCAATCCTTCAGAGCTCTCTCCCATCTTCATGTTTTCCTGAATCAAACAATCTACAATTTTTTAAGTCTTCTGTCAATTTGTTTTCTTCCTCATTAATTCTATATATTTTGTTTTCTAGTCCCAACTTGTATATTGATTATACAACTTATGCGGTGGAATTTGGGAGTGAATTAGAATTAAAAAAAAACAACAACCTATGTTGTGCGAAAAATTAAAGAAACATTTTAATTTTCAAATTTTTGTGAAAAGTTTTTAAAGTTGTAACAGGATATTTTGAGTTTAATCTATTTCGAGTTTAAGAAATGATTTACATTTTTTTCACTATGGAAACAGCTTTCTGTAAACAATCATAACTTTAAAAAATATTTAAATTAAAAACTTTGGAGTTGTATTTTTAACTTAAGTATCAACCTTTAGAATCTCTAATGTTTTTCATATAAATTCATATAGCTTTACCATTACACAAATTCAAAATTAAAATTTACTAATAGGATCCTATTCAAAGCTTTAAATGTAAAAACATAAGACATTGTTTTGATGTGTAAATAACATGTTCAGCTTTTTAATTTTTTCTTTAACTTATATTACATGGAAATTGCAAAAATATTATTGGTTATTTTTTTTTTTAATTCTCTTTTAAGCAAACAGTAAGTTATGTTATTAATTTCCATAATTGAAAATGCCACCTCTATTATTGCAAATGTCACCTCTATTTTCAGAGAAAAATAAAATGGTTTGTGCAATTCAGTTCATATAAATTCATTAAAATATCTTCAATAACCTAGCTTAGATATTAAAAATGTGTCATATCTATATATATTCATTTGTTAAATATTAATAAAAAAGAAATTGAATTGTTTACTTTTGCATTTTCTACTAAGAAACATACCATATGCTTGATCTATGTTGTAATTCATTTTTAGTACTCCATGTATCTATGTTTATTTAATGACGTTTCATGCGCATTGAGTACATGTAATCAAGCTGAATGAATGTATCTATGTTTGTTTAATCAAATTTCATGTGTATTGAGTACATTTAATCTGAATGAAATGTTTGTTTTCTGATCTTCTTATTCATCTCACTTGCTTATTCTCACATTTTTAAAAGTTTAAACTTGTCTTAGATATTGTCAAAATTGTTTATCCCATCTATTTTAAAGTTGAAGTTTTTTATTGTGTTGTCATCACAAAATACATTATATCAAAATACACCACATCACAATGGGTCACTTTAGAATTCATCACATCTATTATTTTTGTGCTGATATGATCCAAATATGTAAATTTTTGTTCACCTGCTCTAACTTAAATACCAAATGAATTTAAATGCTGATTTGCTATCCCAACTTTTTTTTTCATAGAACAAGAGTCTAGAACACAAATTGTATGTTTTTTTTTTTTTTGATTATTTTTTTGAATTTATTGTTCATTCAACTTTTTAAAGACCAATTCTTTTACTGACCAATAATTTTAATTGTATAAAAAAACAAAAAAACATTTTAAGAAAATTAGCAATTTACTTACTACATTCGGTATGATTATGGATTATTGCATTTATATTTTTTTATTTTTATATTTTTATAGTATAGTGTTCTTGTTATAGGAATGATTATGGTGTGCGATCATTATCCTCCATTTTAGATATGGTCAAAGTAATGGATTTTGCTCTTCAAAATGGAAAGGTAGTTTTTTTCAAAATTTAATTGTATTTTGTATAAGCAAGTGTGTAAGTATAAAAAAGTCCACATCCCTGATAGTGCCATGTCCACGTCCATGGTACTGTGTCCATGTTCTTTGTATTACCTTTTTTCTTTGCATATAAGCCTTGTTTGTCAAAGCCAGTTGAGAAAAACAATTTGTAAAAAAAAGTAAGCACGTCAGGAAGTGAATAAAGTAATTAAAAAAGTGTTTGCTATATTGCCAATAAAAGCAACAAATATTTTTTTGAGCACTTCATAAAAAGACTTCATAAAAATGTTTTTTATTTTAAGTGACTTAAAGTGATTTGATTATGTTTCTTTGTGAATTGTTCTTCTCTATAAAGTTTTGTTTTTTAAGTATTGAAAAACCTTTCAAGTTAAAATTTGCTTCTTTTCAAGTACACAACTGTTTTGATCATATTTATGTTATTATGATATATATATATATATATATATATATATATATATATATATATATATATATATATATATATATATATACTAAATTATATATATATATATATATATATATATATATACTAAATTATATATATATATATATGTATATCAACACTCTGAATTACGGGTCGGCATTTGGCAATGTCGACCCTAATTCAGTAACTAAGTGCCGACCATTAAGTGTTTGAGATCAGCAAATTATTGCCCACCTCGTTTCTACGTTTTATGGTGAGACCTTTGTATCATATTTTTTATGCCGAACTAATGCTAACTTCTAAAAGATTGAGGTTGGCAAATTATTGCTGACCTCGTTTTTGCCAATTTCGATGGTTGATATATATGTATATATATATATATATATATATATATATATATATATATATATATATATATATATATATATATATTGTTTGTTTGTTTTACTTTTTTGTTTATTTCACTTATATTTTTTACGCTTACATTTTCTTTTTCTTTACAGGTGGCTGTTCATTGCCATGCTGGATTAGGGAGAACAGGTGTTCTTATTGCATGCTATCTTATTTATTCTTTACGATGTTCTGCCAATGAGGTAATTTAAAATACCATCAATGATTATATTAATGATAAAAATAATGTAACGCAGTAAAAGTCAAAATTTTTTACATGTATTTAAAATATGTAGATAAGAGATAAAAACAATATACTTAGCAAACAATGACATCAGTTTAAAATGCATTTAAACTGATGTCATCTTTATTATGAAATCAGTTTAAATAACTTGATTGTTCAGTTTAAATAACTTGATTGTTCAGTTTAAATAACTTGATTGTTCAGTTTAAATAACTTGATTGAGAAAAAAATCGAGTAATACTTAGTAGTTTGCTTATTTGAAAAACATGTTTAAGAGAAATTAAATATTTAAATTTTGAAGTTAAATAAAAACTTTATGGGTTTTATTACCATTCATGTATGTATGTATGTATGTATGTATGTATGTATGTATGTATGTATGTATGTATGTATGTATGTATGTATGTATGTATGTAGGTGTGTATATATGCATGTATGTATGTATGTAAATTTTAAAATATTTGTTTATTAAATGCCAATTTTAGCCGACTGTTGTGAAAAACGTTTTTTAATTTAATTTTCAATGCTGAAAAATAAATCAATATTTTAATTTTTTAGGCAATTCACAAAATGCGTCTTTCAAGGTCTAAAAAAATATTTTTTAGTCTTTTTTTTTTTTTTTCTTTTAATTTTTACAAATATTTTATATATTAAAATATTCATTTAATTTTTAGACCAAAAGCAATTCAAACAAGGGGTCAAATAAATTGTGTTCAAAACTTTGCTCAATATCTAAAACCAATGTGGATTGTATTTTCTACTGGGTAGTAGTTTTTATTGAGTTATACCAAGCCTCCTGAATTCACAGTTACATCCAGCATTCTAAACCCAAAGTTATATCCAGCCTTCTGAATCCAAAGTTAAAGACAATGAAAAGTAAATGCTGTCTTTAGCTAGTTGAAGGCCAACCAAAAGTTTGATTTATTTTAAGGTATACAAAATCATATTTTGCGACATAGTGCATTTTGTTTTAAAGATTATTGTGTTTTTCATTAGTTTCCTTTAATTTGGATTTTGAGGTGTTTCAGTGGGCTGTATGATAAAAAGATTTCATAAAAATGTTGATGTCTTGATAAAATGTTATCTTTCATGAAAACATTAAAATCTCGATAAAATGTTATTTTTCATGAAAACATTGATATCTTGATGAAATGTTATCTTTCATGAAAACGTTGATATCTTGATGAAATGTTATCTTTCATGAAAACGTTGATATCTTGATGAAATGTTATCTTTCATGAAAATGTTGATATCTTGATGAAATGTTATCTTTCATGAAAACCTTGATAACTTGATGATATTGATTCCAAAATAAACATTGTTAAGTTTTGCTGAAGAAAAAAAAGTTATTTTTTTAATTGTTTTTAATTGTTTTTAATTGTAAAGTGTAAAATGTTTTTTAATTGTTTAATTGTCCTTTGGCTTTTGCATTCAGTTGTTAACACAATAAAAAAATATGAATTATAACAATGTAATATTTCAATTTCTTTTAGTAATTGATACAAAGAATATTTGTTTTTTATCTATAAATTTTGATGTTTAAAGTCAAAGATTATTTTTATAACTTGTTACTTCATAAGTATTTATAAAAATAATAATTACTCTTAAATTTAGTTGATTTCATTATTGTTAACTCTTTTTATTTGTCTATATGTGTGAGCTTTAAGTTTATGTTTTAAAAGATAAACACCTGATAGAAGTTTAAATATTAAACTCATTGCTTTCTGAGGTTTAAAATCATTATTTAAAGTAACTTAACTTGCCATCATTAACAATTTCAATATATTAATTTTAAAATTTAGTTTTAAAAACACAATTTTCCCATGCAGTAATTACTATGAATTTATACATTATTTATTATCTTTATTTTGTATTACAAGCAGTTATTCTTGAAATGGATTGTTATTCATAGCTAAAACTTATTTATAGGGAAATTTGAACTATCTTTATTTGTGAATAAAAAAATAATTAAAATTTTACACTGCTAAAACAAAAACCATGCCAGTGATAGATGAAAAAATTGTCAGTGATTGCTGAAAATAAAATGCCAATAATAATAATAATAATAATAATAATAATAATAATAATAATAGCTGTTGCTATCTAGTTAAAACCTGATTAAATCACATTAAAGTAGTTGAAACTTATGAAAAAAAAGGTAAATAATTATAATTGACAATCCAAAAAAACAGAGGAACTTGCCAGACCTTGATGGTTAAAGAAATAATTTATCAAAATGCATTAACAATAATAAACAATTTGTTATTAACTCTTTGTATATAAGAATATACAGAAGGAACTGTATATAAGAATATACAGAAGGATCTGTATATAAGAATATACAGAAAGAACTGTATATAAGAATATACAGAAGGAACTGTATATAAGATTATAAAGAAGGATCTGTATATAAGAATATACAGAAGGCATTGTATATAATATTATACAGAAGGATCTGTATATAAGAATATACAGAAGGATCTGTATATAAGAGTATACAGAAGGAACTGTATATAAGAATATACAGAAGGATCTTTATATAAGAATATACAGAAAGAACTGTATATAAGAATATACAGAAGGAACTGTATATAAGATTATAAAGAAAGATCTGTATATAAGAATATACACAAGGAACTGTATATAAGAATATACTGAAGGAACATGAACTGTGGTTTATTAGCTTTATTTACATTTAAAGAAATGTTTTATTACAATTAAAAGACACTATAAAATAGTTATCTTATTCACAAAGTTACAACAAAACTATACTAAGGTATAAAAACAAAAAGTTAATATATCGTACTCAAATCTAGAACAAAACAATATTAAGATATACAAAAAATATTTTGTAGTCACAAATTGTGTGACTACAAAGTTCTCCTCAATGCCATCAAAAAGCTGCTATTATATTGAATAAACAAAAAAGGATTTCAAAAATTTATATAGCTATTTAATTGGGATATTAACCTTGCTTGATATTGGATACTTGTAGCATTAAAGACTTTCTAAAAAAGGATGGTCTGAATTTTAAAATGGTCTGTATTTTAAAATAATTGGTATCAAAAAATTGTAATTTTCTTAAATGTTTTAGGAATTTTGGTTTGAAAAAGTTTTAAATTTTTTGATATTTCTTATAAATTCAAACAAACTAAAAAAATAATTAAAAAATAATAAAAGCAGCATAAGTTAAAAAAGCACTAAAAAAAGATTTTTTCTTTTTAAAAAAAAAACACATTTTTGAGAAGTGAGGGGGGGTGATTAACACTCCATACTCTTACTTTTTACAATCAAAAAATACAAGTAAAACAAATAAATGTTAATATAAATATATATTTCTTTTTTGTGAATCCAATAGGACAGTAGAGTATAGGGGGCAATCATATCACAGACAAAAAGGCACATTAAAGGTTAAGTAAAATGTCTTTCACTTAATTTATATTATGTTGGATTTATAATAAAGTTATATTATATTTTGGATTTTTGCATTGCTTACTTAATGAAATTTAAAGTTTTTTCAAAATAATTTTACGTATAAGCTAGGCAAGCATACATTTTAAAACGTAAAATATGCACCCCTCATATGTAGTTCAGTAGCCTTAAAATCTTGTAACCTAGTAACCTTAAAACCCATTTGTTTAAATATCTAAAAATAGCCTTATATTTGAAAATATTTTTTTATTTGGTGCCATCATTTTACTGCTCATTCAAGATATTCATTGAAACATAGTATATTAATTCCACCGTGACATAGCAAATAAATTTATAATGCCAATAAATTATTGGCTTATAATTAGAAATCTTCTCAATATTTCTACCCTGTAAAATTAATTCTATCTTGTAAGATTATATAATAAGATCTGCCAATATAAAAATATAAAACATTAGAAATGCACATAGATAAAAAATCTGCCAATATATAACTGCCAAACCAAACTTCAATTGATGTAACAGCTTTTCCTTGTAGAAGCTGGCTGTAAGCAACACTGCGCATTTTTTACAGTAAAAAAATAAAGTTAAAAACATTCATAATAATTTTATTTTATTAAAAAAATAAATAAAAACATTCAGTATGTTTTTCATTATGTTTTTAAAAACATACAAGTTTTTTAATTTGGTTTTTTGTGGTTTTTTAAAAAACAATAAATTTAATTAGTTTCCTCAATTAAATAAATGCGTTTTGAAATCTGTACCTTAATTTGTACTTAATTTTGTCTTGCTAAATGTCATAGAGTAGTTATAAATATATGTATATATATATATATATATATATATATATATATATATATATATATATATATATATATATATATATATATATATATATATATAGATAGATAGATAGATAGATAGATAGATTGATAGTGGATGTAGCAGTACTTCCTTGTAGCAACAAACTGTAAAAAGTCGATGTAGCAACACTCCCTTGTAGCAGCAGGTTTTAAGTTATTTGATGTAACAACAGTCCACGCATCTTTTAAAAATATATTTTAATTTAAAAAAAAAACACTATTAATTAAAAAATTTCTATTCATTGTTGCTTGTCTAGATAGTCTTGCGCTGGCAAGCTTTCGAGAAATTTTTATGTTTTGATGACTGAACTAGTTTTTGATCATTGAACTTTTATTTTGGTTTTTCCTACTCACACTGATAGCTGATAGTGTTTGTTTTTTTAGCACAGAAAAATAAGACTTTTAAAAATTATTTTTATTTTATACTTATTTTTTTTTAATGGGATTTTCTTTGTATTTTTTTTTTTTTTACGTTTTTTGTTTCAATTTGTTCCTTTACTCTCGAGTGAGCTTGTTATTATTTTGCAATGCATGCATATATTTTGCTTGCTTTTTAACATACTAATTATTTAACTTATAGCTTAATACAGAACAGTTATACTAATAGTCGTTGCTGTTTGAAAAAACTGATTTTATTTTTACTTTTTACATCATTATATTGCATAATAATCAAGTAAATTTTTCTTTCAACTCATGGTAAATTTTTTTATTTTTTAATTTAAAAAAGAAACATTTTAAAACATAACGTTTTCTGTCTGTGTTGAAATTATATCATGTGAGAAGTTTTTAAAAAATAACTAAATATTTAATATTATTTTTACCAAAAAGTTTATGTTTTATATGTTGCCTGTGTAAACTGACTTGCACGGGTGTGGAGGCAGGCGCGGGCTATTCCTGCTGAAGGTTGTATAGATATATATATCGAGATAAATGGTATATATAGAGAGAAAGAGACAGAGAGAAATATTAAACAACAATATTAATAGTAAATGCAATTAAATGAAATATAAAAAATAATATCTTCATCAGGGTTGGGGTCAAATATGTTTAATCAAATAAAAATACAAATTCAAACACGTTAATTTTAGATTTCCAAATAAAAATTCAAATAAAAATATATTCAATCGGCCTTTTCCAAATACAAATATTTGTAATTTAGGTTAAGAAAAAATATATACATTTTTCAAGACTGATAAAATGGTCTACTATGCAGATAAATGAAAACAATTCTTCTAAAAATACCCCTTAATAACAAATATTTTATTTTAGTGCTAACAATTAAAAAAAAAAAATGAGCCTCATGGTATATCCCGAAAAAACACTGGTTAGTTTGTGTTGTGTTTTTTTAATACAAATACAAATATTTAAGAAATGTTTTTTTCAAATACAATACGAGTACAAATACACAAAATTAGCCCATTATTATCAAATACAAATACTTATTTGACCCCAACCCTGATTTTCATTAACATTTTATTGTGATTTTATGTATATAGTAAACAACAGTTCTAATGCATAGAACAATTCAACAAATTCAATTTGAAAAAACACAAATAACCATAAATTCTCACTTAAATATAATAATATAATCAAATATACTTTTAAAAATTCTGTGTTAAATATTGTGTGAAAATAAACATAATTTTTATGGTTGAATTATTTTTGTCATATTATGTTTGTTATTTTAATATAAACTGCTACAATCATTTAATAAAATATAAAATATAAAACATAAAATGATAACTATTGATAGGCAATGATAGGCGATCAATACCTGATAATAGGCTATTGATATTTGTTGAAAGTTCATTGATATGTTAATATGTTAAAGGTCATTGATATGGTCATTGATAGTTAATGATAGGCTATTGATAGCTGATGATAGGTCATTGATAGCTGATGATAGACCGTTGATAGCTGATGATAGGTCATTGATAGCTGATGATAGGCCGTTGATATTTGATGATAAGCTATTAATAGCTGAAAAAAAAATTATTAGTTTATTGTCTGTTTATTACAGCATAACTCTATCAGGAGGGAATTAAGGTATGGTAAAATAAAAGAACTGTTCTGGTATGTTTTTATGGTCAACAAAGCTAATAGCTGACTTGGATTCAGAGGGTTATCCACATCCATATTTATATTATCAGTTATTTTAATTTTTTATGGTGAATTATCATCAAAATAAAAATTAATAATGATGATTTATTTTAGTGAAAACTATTTTACATTGGAACGTTATATAAAACGCCAAAATAATATTCTACATGGAGAAATTAGGAGGTCTTTTAAATACATGCCACAGGTTAATATGTTTCAAAAAAAAAAATTGACTTTTTTTCAATTTACTTTGATATTAATTTTTTTTTCAATTTAGTTTAATATTAATAATCATAAATAATATTTTTTTATTTAGATAATTTATTCAATTCTGGAACGTTTACTACAGTTAGCAGAAGTTAATTTTGATCTTTCAAAAACGATTATTATCAAACGCTTTAATATTATGCAGAACAGTTTTTGTAATGCAAATAACAAACCAAATAATTTTAATCAATTTATAAACCCTCTAAATAATTGTATTATACAATCCACTGATTCTATCAATCACCAATTAAATATCCAATTCACTGATTCAATTAGTTACCCGTCAATTAATGAATTTACAGATTTTTTTTCAAATACTTCTGACAAACTTAATGAGCAAATGAGTAGCTCAACAATTAAAGAACTTTTTTCAGGAAAATTAAAAAAAAACTCAAATTTTTTTAAAAAACACATCAGCAGTGAAGATATTGTTCAGCATATTGCACATGTTTTATGTGAGGATTTCAAAACCAAAGCTAAATCATTTCCTGAAATTTTGCTTCATGATAATTACATTAATCTTTCAGAAAAACTAAATGTTTTTGAGAAACAAAATATTTTTGACAAAAATTTTAATAAACTAAAGAATAATATTAAAGAAAAATTAATTCCAGAAGATATATCAACTGTTACTAATTTAGATCTTACATCTATGCAAAATGTTTTTTTATTAAATACAACAAATGAAAGTGCATTACAGCATGAGAAGGGAGGTGTATTGCAACATGAGAGTACATCACACCACGACAGTACATCACACCATGAGAATACATCACACCACGAGAGTACATCACACCATGAGTTGATCTTAAAGAGTTTAGCATTTCATTGTTGTGATATTAAAGTTTTAACACAAATTGAAAGACATAAAGTAATATTTATTTTAAAATAAAACAACTAAACAGTTTTTTTTTTAGTTATACCTAATTATAATTTACTTTTTCTTTTACCTATAACTAGTTATAATTTAATTTTTTTTCAGCGAAATTTTAATTGTGATAAAAATGCTTGCCAGAACCTGAAGGAAGAAATTAATTTTTCTGTTTTAAGTGGTTTGTTTTGGTCTTGGTTATACCAACTAAAGGTACTTTTTGTTTTAAGTGGTTTGTTTTGGTCTTGGTTTTACCAACTAAAGGTACTTTTTGTTTTAAATGGTTTGTTTTGGTCTTGGTTATACCAACTAAAGGTTTTTGTTATTTGTTGTACTATATAATAAGACATAAGAGGGAATTCAGAGGTTCAGATTATTTACAGGATGCACATTATAAAAATAATTATTAAATGTAATAGACTTTGATAAATATGGTAAAAGAAAATAATTAATTTAAAAGTTGAATATGTTCATATAGTTTGCATATTTTGAACTCGAAGTAGAGAATGTTAGAAGCTAGAATACTATAGTTACAATAGTCCAAAGTAGAGAATACTAGAGTTTCGTAAATTTTAAAGCATTATTTTAGAGGTTAGGTAATCATACTAATGCTGGTGGCTTAAATTGTTGAAGGTTGTAAGACTGCCATAATTGTTTTTTGTTTATAAAATGATTTCTATAACTTTTTTCTAATAATACAAATGAATAATATGTTTATATCATTATTTTTTTAATATTTTACATACTTTAATCATTTTTGTTTATTCATCACTGTTTTACATGCTTCTATCATTTTTTTTTTTTGCTCATCGTTTTAGGGACCAATAATTAGTTGTGATTTAATTGAAATTATATCACAAAATAATCAATACACTGACTACAATCAGTTTACTGACATTATTTCCTCTTGTCTTAAAAAGGTAAATTTCTGTGTTAATAACTTTTTAGCAACACAAGTATTTATAAACACATATAAATGTTTCATTTGTGTTAATAAATGGTTTGTTTGTGTTTATAAACTTTTATTTGTGTATATGTTTCATTTGTGAACATGTATGTAATATCTTTCAATTCCTTTTTTCTTTTTAGGAGGTTTGGAAACTTTGTGAATGTTTTTTAACATTTCTATCACAGGTTTTATATTTTTATTTTATTTTTATTAAAAAAAGTAAATTTTTCCATTTTTGTGGAAAAATTTATTTTAATTACAATCAGAATATTAAAGTTCAAGAAAATAAATGCTTATTACTAGAAAGAAAGGAAATTAGACCAAGTTGACTATTTGAAATGTGAAATCTATTTTTGTTTTAAAAAATTGTTGTATTCAAATATTGGTGTATTTGCATCATTCTAGAAAAATGTTTACGTAACTTGTTATGAATATAAAATCCATAAGCATTTGAAATCTCTTAAAATTCTTTTTGTTTATTTTTGGTATTTTTGGTATTTTAACTCTCTTTATGGACATTTACTTTTTTAAACAACTGCAATTACTAAACTACCGCAAAACTAGTTTGATTAAAAAATTAACTCAAAAAAGTGTGTAAGTGTTATTAAGTACAAATGTTTAAAAATGTTTGTTGTCTTAGTTTTCTAATTATACTTAATGTGACATCAAATTCTGTTGTACAGTGCATAGTGGCTTCTTGATAATGCATAAATAATCTAGACAGTTTTAGTTACATTTGTGATGAACTTGTATTTGATAATTATCAATATCCCATCATTTTTAAAATATAAGTTGTATTTTCGATGTTCTGTTATTGAACATTATAAAACATTAGTGCTACATTCCTGCTGCATTAAATGGTCTTCTGGGTTGTGTACTTGGTCTATAACTGGATATGCATTTTGTTTTGCAATAACAATGATATGATGCCAATAACATGGGCATTTAGCTGACTGCTATTTTTGTTATGTAAGTTAATTATGTTTCCAAGCAATCAGCTGACCTGATGTATTTGTTTACCAAGAGCGGAGAGTTACCTCATAGTAATGATATTCCTGCACTTTTCATCAAATTTGGAGTTGAACATCTTAATTGGCATTTATTTTTTGATGCATCTAAAATAAGCATAAAAATTTCTTCACAATAACAGTGTACATCTGTCTGTCTCCATATCTTATGCAGTCATGATGAGAAAAACATTAAAACTCGAAGGAAATTCTTCACTGTATTTAATATGTTGATCACAATTAAGAAATCTGTGCTAACTTCAAAGATGTTGCATTTTGAAAGAGCTACAATCAGAATATGCAAAATACTGTTATTTCATTTGCCTGATGGATATTTGTACTTAACATTTCACACAGAAAAGTTGACCAGTGGTTCAAGTTGCCATTACAGGCCCAAGCAACAAAGTTAACTTTACTTTAGTTGGTAATCAAAATGTGATGTCTACACATAAAACTAAGTTTGATTTGGCAGCTGTTTAAGGATAAATAAATTGTGGCCTTCAAACACCTGGAAAACTCCTGCAATGAGCTTTGCAAAAGTTTAAATATAGAATCTGATATATGACAACTACTTCATGATGACTTTGAGTGCAAATAATTGAGCATTCAATTGACACAGATTTTCTAGACAAACTTGTGTTCTTTAAATTTTATGAATACTGTTCAGAAATTGCTGCTGTCATATGAATACTGTTCAGAAATTGCTGCTGTCATATGAATACTGTTCAGAAATTGCTGCTGTCATATGAATACTGTTCAGAAATTGCTGCTGTCATATGAATACTCTTCAGAAATTGCTGCTTTCATATGAATAATGTTCAGAAATTGCTGCTGTCATATGAAGTTATTGGATGCAGCATGTTCTTTAATATTCATTTTTTGATGTCTTTTTTTTTCTGCTGGTATGAGTAATGTCAGTGATGAGCACAGTGTTTTTACTAGATTTTTTTTAGTTTAAAATTTAAGGTTGGCATATTGCCACAAAGTGCCTTTTTTTAACTAGTTTTTGACATTTTTTGATTCCATGTGTGCCACATTTAACCTCTATGTGATAACATTATTTCTATACACAAAAATGTTTCCATGATACCAGTGTGTTCTCATTGTACTAATAAAATAACCATGCTCAGTGTTAAACATCTGTTGTTTTAATGACATAAAACAAAACTTATTAACATTAGTAAAGTGTTAAATTTGTAACAATAAATCTGCAGTGTTATAATATATTATTTGATATTACATGATATTTAATGTTTTTATAAATTTGAATAAAAAAATGAATTATATTTTTATAATTCATTTGCATGAAATAAAAGGAAAAATAAAAAATTATGACAAAGATTTGTCGAAAAATGAGAAATTGAGGCATAGAAATATTCTTAAAAAAACTTTAAATAACAGAAAGACACTATCATTCAATTTAGAAACTGTAGAAAAAATAATCTAGTATTATCTTTATCTATATCCAAACTGTCTGTGTCTCTCAAAAACTTAGTTTGTTGTCCAAAAAAAGGTTCTACACTTACACCAAGTTGTCCAGAAGCAAAGGAGATCTGCTGCATTATATCTAAGCGGGAAGCTCCCTGGGAACTTAGTGGGAACTAATTTCATACAATGTTTTTTATGGTTAATATTACTTATCAAATTTTAATCTAATTAAATTATAGTTATCTAATCAGTATTAATTTTTAGGAAAGCTGTCCACACTCTGAAATATAGTAATATGAAATATTACCATATTTCTAAAAAGGTATTTTGGTAAGGCATGATATAAAAATCATAATTAATGAAATAGCAACAGAAAAAAACAACAGAAAAAAAATGTCTAGACATTATGTTCAACATAATGTCAACCAGCATACTGCTATCATGGGCAGTGTTATAGCTGTGTCAGGAGGATAAATAAGTCCAAATCATCGTCTATTCAAGCTAAAGATAAATAGGTTCAGAAGAAAATTAGACATTATACAAAAAAAAAGTCTAGTTCCACATATAAGCTGATTTCTGTTCAGTTCAATTCAATGCAGAAAGTTATTTAAAGAATATTTGGAGAAAGTTTCAGCCACTAAAGACATATTACTGTGCTAGTGAAAGTGAATGGGAAAACTGAGCTACTAGGCATTCCTTATATTGAGTCAGTTTATAGCAAATTTTAATCAATAGGTTCTTTTGCCCTTTGTCATCATATACAGTGTATATGCTTTGATGCTACTGCTTTCAATATTGGAAAGCATCATTGAATTATAACGATAATGGCGTATAAGCTTGAGCAGCTACTATTTTTCCTGTAAACATCTTGATGCTGAACATTTCTATAGAGATAGGATCAACAATAGGTTAAATATAACAGCATTGTTTGTAGTATATGTAGGACTAAATCCTTTACTTTTAGGATGATAAATCAAGAAAGGATTAACAGGAATCAGCTAAACTATCTTTGTTGATAGTTTCTCTAAAAAAGATTTTCAAGTTTCGCATTCCTGGTCAATTGCATCATACAAGATTCATGACCAAAGTGTTGTATTACCCTAAAGTGTATATACTATTGAAAACCATTCCAAATTTACAACTGAATGTAAAAGCAAATGCTACATTATATCAGTTTAAAAATATTAATATTAATTTGAAAAGCAGGATGAAAAATGATTATATAATTTATTACGATATAATTGCTTGATTGATGATTTCATTTAATTGTTAAAATATTGTGTATGATATAAGCTTTGTGGCAAAGAAGAGGTTGATGGGTATAAATACTTCAGCAATTAAATCTCAGCAGATACTTCAGCAATTAAATCACGTGTTAAAGTGAATAGAAATTTCTTAACTTTTTAGACTTTGCACAAGATCATTCTTTATCTCTTTGTTCTCTAGTAACTGGGGCTCACAGTGGCTGGTGAACTTTAATTCAGATAAAACTCAATTTTTTTCAGCCAATCGTTGTCGGAATAATTTAGATCTTCCTATATTTATGAACGGTAATGTATTCGATGAGTCATCAACCCTTCATTTTCTAGGATTAACTCTGATAACTTCTGATCTTTCTTGGAAACCGTATATCAAATCGATTGCAAAATTAGCATCTGCTAAGGTCGCATCTCTTTATCGAGCTCGACACTTTCTTACGCCGGATTCTATTCTCTATCTATATAAATCTCAAATCCGGTCTTCTATGAAATACTGTTGCCATATCTGGGGTGGATCTTCTAATGTTGCCCTTTCTCTTTTAAACAAGGTGCAAAAACGCATTGTAAACACAATTGAACCTGCTCTTGCAGCCAACACAATTTCACATCGCCGTAATTTTGCTTCTCTTTTTCTTTTCTACAAATATTATAATGGGCACTGCTCTAAAGAGCTAGCGTCTCTTGTGGCATCTGTTAAAATTCATTTTCGTATTACTCGTCATTCAATTAAGTCTCATCCTTTTTCTGTTACTGTTCCTAAATGCTCCAAAAACTCTTACTCGTCTAGTTTTTTTCCTCGAACATCAGTTCTTTGGAATTCGCTTCCTTCATCTTGCTTTCCTGATTCATATAATATGCAATCTTTTTAAGTCGTTTGTCAATCGTTAGCTTTCTTTACAATCTTCATTTTTTCTCTTCCAGTAACATCCAACTCTAATAGTGGTTGCTTGCAGCCTTGTTGGAAGCGAAGATGTTTAAAAAAAAAAAAAACTGAATAATATTAGCTCATCTTTGATAGGATTGGACATGGTAAACATGAGTGGCAGTGGCTTCCTGTTGGGAAAAAGATAGCCAGATGACACAAGATGTGTTTAAAACATTCAAAACATGTACTTCTACGTATTTTATACGTCTTAAACGCGTCTTTTACCCATAGGTAGCGACTAGCTAGCTAGTTGCTAGCTCATTTCCCACCGGTTTATTATTTACAGTTCTGGAAGTTTTTTTTATTTTTAAATTCCAACAACTTGAAAGAAATTTATATATAGGAGATGGCTAATCTATCTTCTTATAGATTCATCTCTAAATTTAACATAAAATAGTATATTTTAATAGCTTATTTATAATTCAAGTAAACGAGGTTTTGTAATAAAAAGTACTAGAGAAATTATAATAATTTACTATACTATATAAAGTACTATAGAATTATATTATAATAATTTAGAATAATTTCTATTAAAGTACTATAAGAAATATCTAGAGAAATTTCAATCTGAGCAACCTTAATATACACGCAAATTTCAATTGAAAAGTTGTTTTAAATTTTTGCATACAAATTTTCAATCTTTCAGCTAAATGGTGGAAAAGTATTTATTGATCGCATACTTCGTCGTTTTGCTGTTGCTTTGACAAAAGATGATTCTTTTGTGAAAGATGGTGCTCTGATGAAAGATGATGAGCAAGAAAACTGGGTGGGTTCAGAATGTTATAAGTTTTTATTGATATGGTTAGAGATGTTACAAAATGTTACGTAATTTATATAAGGGTTAGTCCATAAATTACGTCACGCAATTTTTGACCGTTTTCGAACCCCCCCTCCTTCTCGTCACAAAATCGCAACACTTAAGAAGCGAGTTTTGAATGAGTCGTCACAAAACGACCAACCCCCCCTCCCCCCTTATAGCGTGACGTAATTTATGGACGACCCTAAATGACCCCAAATTTTAGAAACTAAATTCAATATTTTTCTTCATTTTTTTTTATCTTTACATTTTAAGTTATAAAAATAATTTTTAAATGTAAAATATCACCAAACATTTAAATTTCATTTTCATCTTTCTTTTTTTATATATATATAAATATATATATATTTTTTGAGACGTTTCATTTCAAAACTGTAAACACTCAATAATAAATTTTTTCGGATTAGTTTATTCTAAGCAGGCTATATTCGACTAAAAAAAGTAACATGGGTATAGCCAGAAAATGATAGGGAAAAGAAATAAATGACTATGAACATTTATTATAATTTATTATGTAGTCATATATTTATAAAAATAAGTTATATAATTAAGAAAATTAAGATAAAGTGAATTTCGTTTCAAAATAAGGTAGAAAAAACAAAATTATTTCTTTTGAATTAATATTAAGAAGTTTTTTGTAATCAAAAAATACTTAAACATACACACACACACGCTTATTTTGATTTTCTTTTTAATAATGCGTGACCAATTACCTGCACAACAATTATAATTAATTTATGTATATAAAATTAATATTTGCGTAGTATAATTATGCATATAAAATTAGTGATAAATTGCCAAAAAAACGCAGTAAATTTGCATATAAGTTACGTTAACGTAACTTTTGCTTTTCTTTTTTTGTCCTCCTACAATTTATAATTTTTTCTAATTTGGACATATATCACATAAAATAATTTTATAATAATATTTTTATTATATAAAATAATAATAATAGGAAATCAACCAAATCCTAATATAATAGGTTTAATGTAAACAAATTTAATAAAAATTCTAATTTTAAATATCACTTACTCTTATGGGTGGCCCTTTCGTCCTATATACTGGCTACGCCCATGAATTAAACGTTTTTAATTGATAAAATATGGATTTCTATCAACATAAGTTATTATTTTTAATTCTATTAAAACAGAATATTTATTTGCATTTTAAATTTTGTAAATAGATTATTTATTTGTGAACTTTGTAAAGACTTATTGACCATTATTTATTGTATTATAGTAAACTATATATATTGTATTTGTGAAATTTGTAAAGACTTAGTGACCATTATTTATTGTATTATAGTAAACTATGTATGTGTATATATATATATATATATATATATATATATATATATATATATATATATATATATATATATATATATATATATATATATATATATATATATATATATATATATATATATATATATTGTACAAATGTTTTCCAAATATAGGTAAAATACAACGTTTGTTTTTAGTATTATTATTTTCAATATTGTCGAGAAATCCTTTTACTGGGAAAAGTCTTAAAAAATATTAGTTGGCTCCTAAATATTTGGTCGTTAAAGATTCTAGAAGTATAAATTTTTTTATATTTTTTAGTAGGTACATGGCAATAACTTGTATCTTTGCTTTTTTTTGCGTTTTTGAAGTTAATTTCATAAAATGCTCAAAATAGTGTAATCTTTGATGTGGCAAAAGGATTTATCTCTTAATAGTCGGATTAAAGAGATGAATTCTTAGGTTTATCGGAAAATTACATAGACTAAATAGTCGGATTAAGAAAATGTAAAATTAAAAAAAGAAAAACTTGGCTAAAATATCTCTTTTGAAAACTTTGTTTTTGCTCTCCTGTAAAATTATATTAAAATATAATTTTACAGGAGAGATAAAACCTATAGCCGTTTACAATTAATTTACCAAATTCATCATAATTTTGTGGGTTTTAAGCCAAAACCTTGAATTTTTTCAACCAAACCTATATACATATATATATATATATATATATATATATATATATATATATATATATATATATATATATATATATATATATATATATATATTATTTTCAAATCTTACGTCTATTTTTGCTGTTCTGAGAAAAAGGCATTTAAAGTTTTCAATTCATAGCTGCATAAATATGCATAAAGCATCATCTATAGTACACTCTAAATTAAAAGGTGTTAAATTACACCAAAACAGTGTGCAGCATGAAATACATCAAAACGGTGTTAATTTACACCGTTTTGGCGTATTTCATGCTGCACACCATTTTAGTGTTAATTAACACCGTTTTGGTGTAAATTTACACCGTTTTGGCGTATTTCATGCTGTACGCCGTTTTAGTGTTAATTTATACCGTTTTGGTGTTAATTAACACCGTTTTGGTGTATTTCATGTTGTACACCGTTTCAGTGTTAATTTACACCGTTTTGGTGTAAATTTGAAAAAGTTTTAAAAAAATATATTTTTTGCTTTTATATATAATTTTATTTCCAATAAATATATACATACAACAACTTTTCAATAAATTCATAAAATTCGTTCTATATTAGTTCTGTACACAATAAATATATACATAATGCAAAAATACCTTATATAATTTTATTTCCAATAAATATATACATACAACAACTTTTCAATAAATTCATAAAATTCGTTCTATATTAGTTCTGTACACAATAAATATATACATAATGCAAAAATACCTTATATAATTTTATTTCCAATAAATATATACATACAACAACTTTTCAATAAATTCATAAAATTCGTTCTATATTAGTTCTGTACACAGCCATAATTTTTGTGAACCATGCAATGAAGACATGATATTTTCTTTAACCTATTTATAAGAACAATATATTTATATTGTATAGCCATTTTTACAATGTTTTCGAACAGTTTATTTGTGTATTTAATAAATAATTCAATTTCATACACGTTATCAAGAATATAAATCTGTAGTAAAATGTGTTAATAATTAGTTAAACACCAATAAATAAAGTTAAAATCCAACATAGATCTAACATGAAGGTCCATTTTGTGATATTATTTTAATTAAATAAAACTTTTATAAAGCTTAAAACAAACAAAAAAGACCTTAATGCAAAAATACCTTATATAATTTTATTTCCAATAAATATATACATGCAAAAACTTTTCAATAAATTCATAAAATTCGTTCTATATTAGTTCTGTACACAGCCATAATTTTTGTGAACCATGCAGTGAAGACATGATATTTTCTTTAACCTATTTATCGAGCATTTTTACAATGTTTTCGAACAGTACCTATAGATAGTTTCATATGAAATCCATGTATTAACACAACCAAGCAAAAAAAATCAATAATAACGGTACCGTACTTATATCGCTGGCCATTTTAAAAGTTAACGTTGTTTTCTCGCAACAAACACAATGTATTAAGACGTTTAAACATTTTAAGCAAAATTTGTAATTAGAGTTATACTTAGCAAAGATAAAATTTTATCTTCGTTAAGTATAACTCTGATTACATATTTTTCTTGTTAAGCTCAAGCCTGTTTAGAATAAGCATAACTCTAATTTATAAATTTTAACTTTAATTGTTTAGTATAACTCTGACATACAAATTTTATCGAAAGTTTATTTAGAGTAACGATTCTCAAATATATTCATTACAAAACCACTTAAATACATTTACAACAACCGTTTAAGGCTATGCTGATACCAAAAAGGTGTAATTTTACACCTTTTCATAAAACGGTGTAAATCTGAAATTATATTTTTGTAAAACGGTGTAAAACAGCTTTACACCATTTTACACCATTTTACACCGTTTCATTAAAACAGTGTAAAAATAGAAAAACTTTAAATTATTTAAATTTTATACTAAAACGGTGTAGTTAACAAAAAAGGTGTTATTTTACACCGTTTTGATAAAAATACACCTACAGAGTTAAATTAAACTAAAACTGTGTAAATTTACACCTTTTTCGGAAATTATTTTCAATTAACACTTTTTGAGGTTATATTAACACCAAAACGGTGTGATTTAACACTTTTAAATTTAGAGTGTATCTTCAATAATGTATGCTAATGACACAACTTTATTTTATAATCATAGTAATTTAAAATCGATGTTCGAAACAATGAATACCGAACTGGAAAACTTTAATTTATGCTTTAGAGCAAATAAACTATCATTAAACTGTGAAAAAACTAACTACATCCTATTTCATAAAACAGGTCAATCAATAACTCTACCGTTTAAAGTTCCAGAATTGCACATTAACAACGTAACAATAAAACGGGAAAAATATGCAAAGTTTCTTGGTGTTCATATTGATGAAAAATTATCATAGAGAAATCATATTGGACACATTGAAACAAAAATATCATCTGCAATAGGTATTTTATATAAATGTCGCCCGTTTCTTGATTTCTGTTCAAAAAAAAACTTTACTTTCTAATTCTAATTCAGTCATCTCACATATGCTAATATAGTGTGGGCTAATACACACAAAACAAAATTAGTCAAACTACAAGGCTTGCAAAACCATGCTTATAAAGCAATTCATTATCTAGGTAGAATGGACAATCCTCCCAATGCGATGACAAATACGAAAGTCTTAAACTTGGAAAAACTTAATTTATATCAGACTCTTATTTTTATGTTCAAATATAAAAATAATATGCTACCAAATTCTTTTTTAGACATATTTTCGTCATTATTTTCTCAAAGTTTTAACCTGCGATCAAATAGCTTCCATAACTATTATATTAAAAAAAACTAAAACCCGGGGTTCTGAATTTTCAATTATGTCACAAAACTCCAAAACATGAAAAAACTTGAAAAATCAAAAGTTAAAAGACTTCAATGGAATATCGTCGTTTAAACAGCAAGCAAAGCTGCATATTCTTAGTTTGTAAAAATGATTATAATAAATTTAAAAAAAATAATAATAATAATAAAAATATGTATGTGTATACATGTATATATGTGTATGTATATGTGTGTATGTGTACACTCTTAACTAAAAGGTGTTAAATTACACTAAAAAGGTGTGCAGCATGAAAAACACCGAAACGATGTTAAATTACACCGTTTTGGTGTATTTCATGCTGCACACCTTTTTAGTGTTAATTTACAACGTTTTGGTGTTAAATTACACTGTTTTGGTGTATTTCATGCTGCACACCTTTATAGCGTTAATTTACATCGTTTAAATGTTTATGTTATAATTTTAATGTTAATGTTTATTTAGTTTAACTTTTTTGATGCACTTCAAACAAAAAATAACTTATAGAAATAAACATACATACACAAATATTTAATTATAAACTACATAAAACCATGTTTATGTTTTATTTATTAAAAAAGTTCTTAAAATATATAATTATGATACAGTTAAAGTAAATGATTTTAATAGTTGATTTGCCTTTATTGACAAAGAAAGACTTTTTTTTTAAATACATTCTGCTAACATTTCCCAAAATGATTTTAAACTAGAAGGATATTCGAGGTTGAATGCATGAAAAAAAACATAGTTTGGCGTGAATAACATCAACAAGGTTTTTTTTTCGGGCAACCACAA